TTTTGGATTAGCACCCATAGGCAATCCTAGGTACTTAAGTGGTAAACTTTGAGTCTTACAATGTAGTAGGGATGCAAACTCCTCAAGAGCAGTGTCAAAGATACCAACCCCACAAACCACACTCTTATGATAGTTGATTTTGAGACCCAATGCTACTTCAAAACACCTGAGGATCCTTTTTAAACTAAGAACTTCTGATACCTCAGCTTCACAGAACAGAAGAGAGTCATCTGCAAATTGGAGATGGGAGAGCTGAACTTGATTGTTCCCAATGATAACCCCTTTTAGCAGACTTAACTCCCTAGCTCTCTGAAGAAGAATGTTTAGTGCTTCTACAACCAAGTTAAAGAGGAATGGGAATAAGGGATCACCTTGCCTAAGGCCTTTTTGAGGATTAAACTCCTTAGTTGGTGAACCATTAACAAGTATTGAAATTCTTGCAGTAAAGACACATTCCTTAATCCATGAAATCCATTTGGATCCAAACCCAAAGTTTGCTAACATTAAGAAAAGGAAGCCCCAATTGATAGAGTCAAAAGACTTTTCAAAGTCTAGCTTGAACAGCAACCCCGTTTTCTTAGATTTAAGCCTGCCATCAACAACTTCATTTGTAACCAACACTCCATCCAGAATATTTCTACCTCCCAGGAAAGCTGATTGTGAGTCACCAATAACCATGGGCATGACTTTTTGAAGTCTGGATGCAAGGACTTTAGAGAGTATTTTGTACATAAAACCAACTAGGCTTATAAGTCTAAAATCATTTAAAGTAACAACTTTCTCCTTCTTTGGAATCAGAGTGATGATGGTATTGTTCAATCTTGTTACTAATCTGCCATTGATATGGAAATCCTTCATAAAGTTAAGCACTTCTTCCTTAAGCACCTTACAATATTTTTGAAAAAACATCAGGTTGAATCCATCTGGCCTAGGAGCTTTTTTCCCATTGAAATTTATTACTGCTGCCCAGATTTCTTCTTCAGTGAACTCTGCTTATTCCCTAAGTCTTACACTTTGTGTTCCTATCTCCTTTCAAATTCCAATCTTGCCTAGACTTTTGAAGCCATTCCCACTCCAACTTCCTGCTCAACATCCACATTTCATTTCTTTTCTCTCTTTGTTGCTTTAGTTCTTCCTCAAAGGTCTAGATTCAGCTTTTAGATCATACTGATGAAGCTCATATTTAGTGTCTTGTAATTTAGTTGAAACATTACCATATACCTCTCTACTCCATTTTTTTAAGGCCAACTTGAGCTTATGCAACTTTCACTGTAGAATGAAACCAGCTGACCCTGAGAATTGTGAATCCCTCTAAGTTTACTCCACAAAAGTTGCAAAATTTAAATGCAACATCCAAGCATTCAAGAACTTAAAGGGTTTAGGCCCCCTAATCCCTAGTATCCTTCATGAGCACAATAGGGCAGTGATCAGATGCAATTCTAGGGAGACCCCACTGATTGAATTTAAATTTTTTCAGCCATTTAGGGCTAAGAGGAAACCTATCTATTTCGCTTCACTTATTTCCATCAAAGACATTGCACCAGGTGTAGTTTCTGCCTAACATTGGCAGATCTACAACCTCACATCTATCTATGAAATTATTGAACTCCTTCATGCCCCTATCCTTGAGTGATACACCTACTATTTCCTTTATATTCTTGATCTCATTGAAATCACCTCCAAGACACCAAGGCTTGGGGAAACAAGATTTTAGATTTAACATTCTTCCAAAAGTTCCTTCTCCTTATGATGTCATTTGGAGCATGAATATTAACAATTACACATTCAAAGGAGTTGTAAAGCTTACCTGATAGGAGAATAAAATTTCTGTTACAACAGGACTCTGTAAGCTCCAAGACGCCAGGGTCCCAGATACAGAGTAGACCACCTGCCAACCCTTCAACATCTACATTCATGAACTTAAGCCTATCCCTAGGCCAGACACTTTTCACCACCAAACTGGTTAGGCTTGATTTTTTTTGTTTCTTGGAATAGAGTCATGTCAATCTTTCTTTCTAGCAACAATTTCTTGATCTTGTTTCTCTTTTCATGCCTTCCTAACCCTCTAATATTCCAACTTAGAGTCTATATATATATGAACATATATGACCCTGGTCTCTCCCAGTTCTAATAGGTTATTCCATAATACCTTTCCCTCTTTCCAATCTCTCTTTATCCTTCTCCTCCATGTGTGCTAATTCCCTTATAACCTCAGTTTCCTGACCCTTGAAGTCTAAACCCAATATTTGCCCAGTTGTAGTATTGATTGAGCCTCTTGAAAAAACCCATTACCAAAAGAGGGTTGCTGTAGTTTTGGACTATGGTTTGATATAGGTACAGTTGTGGATCCTAACCTGGAGCCTTTAGTGATTCCCTTGCTTGAAGTTGCACCCTTTTTCCCGAGTCTTTAGCAAATCCAGTAAGCCTACCAGCTAGCAGGGAATGCTTGAATCCTTCACTTTTGATTCATTTCCTCTTGCCTTTCTTTAAACGATGAGTAATGGAGCCTGAAATTGCTGGGATGATACCGACGCTTGTTTTTAACTGAGAGCCCACCTCTAATGTTCCACAAGTTGGCCTTACAGATGGAGGTTTAGGTCCAACACTAGAGGGCCTAATAGGTTGTAGCCCAAATGAGTCATGGCCCAAAGCTACCTCCAAGCAGATACCAGGCCTTTCCTTAAGAGGTTGGCTTAGGCTTTTAATAAAACCTGGGGTGAGAATTTGACTGTGTACTATAGGTGTTACTACACTTATTTGAGTTTCATGAGTGCCCTCTACTCTTTGTTGCATGTTTCCCACAAGCTGAGCTTCCACACCTTTCTGAGCATCATGATTGCACTATCTTTGGTGCAGGCTTTTTGCTGGCGATGAGGACTCCACCATACCTGTGCCTTCTTCATTTGAAATTCCTGCGCAATCCTTGATCTTTTCCACTGCTGAAGCATGACTCCAACTGCCTTCGTCGGCCAGCTCAGCTCTGACCTTCATCCGAGATGCCAAATCCCCTAAAGCCACATTAGATGCTGATGCCACATCAACTGCCTTGTCAGCATCTTCGTTCAGCAAGTTAGTTTCTACAGAAAGAGGGAGTACCCCATTGATGTTGGAGCAAACATCTTTGTCTGTCGCATTAGAATTCATTCATTTGCAATTAATGCTAACCTCTTTTGTGATCTGCTCCTCAAAGACTCTTATTGGATGAACTCTTCCATTGCACTCCAGGTTTGGGCTTATACTAATCGGTTCCATAACACTTATAACTATCTTGACCCGACCACAGCGGAATGATTTAGGCGTATAGACATCGCCATCTAAGAGAACCATCTGTCCCCAAAGTCTTTCTATCTTGCGGAAGGTATCTGAGTTCCATAGATTAAGAGACAACCCAGAGTAGCTGATCCAGACACATCTCTCCTGCTAAAGATATATACATGTTCTCCATTCTGTGATATATTCACACCAGTCATGGAATCAAGACATAAGCAAAGTCATTTTGCTCAACAACTCTTCCTTTAAGCTGAATGAGATGATAGCATCTCGCCCACCTCCCTCTCTGACGAACACATTCTTCACCCTCTTTTTATGAGTTCATTTTTCACCTACAGAATAGAGTAATCTACTTTGAGTCTCATAATCATTCTTTCGTATAGCCAACCATTTCCAAGTTCATCTACTTTGATGTTGTCAAAGGTGGACATTTGGGATCAACTCCCTTAATGACCTCTGTAAACGACCGACCATCAGTGCGTTGATGCCAAATCTATTTGGGTGCCATAATAGAGGCCTTCCTGGGTTCAGAATGTCTTGTTGGTAGGGATTTTTATCTATGCCTATCCGTCATTCCTTTACCATACTCTACAATTTTGACTGACAAAGATTTGTCATCTACCCACAAACCATTGCCTTTTTGTTCTGCTACATCAGCTGCAATAGAACAATCATAGCGCACGAACCCAACTCTGGTGTTTGTTAATTTCCTCCTCTTTTGTGGTATGAATACATCCTTCACCACATCAAACTTGTTGAACAGATCATGCAACTTTCTAGGTGCCATAGATTCAGGCAAGTTATCCACAAATAATGTAAACAAAGATGCTCTTCAATTTTCAAGCCGCGAGTTAGGGTGCATTGGTCTACCTCTTTGCTTGACCACTGGAATCCAGCCTCCCCGTCCTCCGTCCTCCATCTTCTATGGAAAATTCTAATTTTGAAATCATATTATTCAATATTAGTATAATATAAGAAGTTTTTAAAAATTTTGGAAGTTTCTTACAATTCGTGATAACTTTTCGTCATTGCAGAAAGCATTGGTTATGAAGGAAAATTTATTAGGTGATCCAGGGGTATTATGTGACAATACTCTTACTAACCACCAAATGTTATGTCCATTGGTGTTCCTTTGTGACTCAACACACAATCGTGGACTCTATCTTTTCTATCAATCACAAGACTCTTTAAATATCACCTAACAATGTCCTACTAAATAACTTTTCATGATTAAGAGAGTTTGTGATGACTGGCATCGTAATAGTAAGAATCATTTGATATCATATAAAATGAGCTATCGGATTATTTCATTTATGTTTGGGGTTTGATTATTTGGTGTCTTTTTTTGGGCTTATTTTTGTCTTTGGTATATATATATATTTTAAATTTTCAAAATTTTTTAAGCTTTTAGATTTAACTCAACGAGACGAATCGAAAAATTAAAAAAAAGATTGAAACAATCCAAAATAAGTCCTAAAAAGGCAAAAATAAGCAAAAAAATAGTAATTTTTTTGTTTGTTTGTTTATTTTGGCTTTTTCAATTTTTGTTGGAATTTTTCAAAAAAACTTATTTTTTAGTTTACACAAGATAGGAGAACAACAAAATTTTGACATAATTTTTAAAAAATACTAAAAAGTAAAAACATTAAAAGAAAATGTTAGGTGTTCTATATTAGAGGACTTGTTACTCAAATATAATAAAAATATATATATTCAATTGACTCATAAAAGAAGTAGAACAAAAATAATATTAGTGAATATTTGAAGTTTTTGCATTTTGTTCCAACCAATAGAAGAAAAAACAAACAATTAATATAAATTATTTGTAAAGATAAATCCACTCATGTGTTATATGTATCTTTTTAGGCAAAGTCTCATATTGTATTTAACATGTGTGGATTTATCTATACAAATAATTTGTATGGTTGGAAAATATTCTTGAGTTCACTCCTTACAGTACACATAAAATTGCAATAGATATTTTGACGATGATCTTTTCGGTTCATTCAAGACCAAATTCAAAGTCTTATCGTTGTCGATTGGTACCAACTCATACTTCACTTCGGGGGACTGCCGATATGGGATCCTACCTTTGAACTTCAGTTGCACGTTTTCTCCATTCGGGGCCACCTTGGGCTTGATCATCGCCTCCAACTCGAGCAATGTTGTCCCCTTTTTCACGTTACAGAACTCCTTCACATTGCCCTTGTAAGACGCACCTTCGTGATCAGACACACTCTCTCCCCCCCAATAGAACATAACGTTCTCATCTTCTGTATCAACCCTTCACAATTCACATTTCAAAAACTTAAAATAAGTACCTAAGGAAGGTGCTGTTTGATAAAATTGAAAATTAAAAACTGAATATTGAATTTTTTTAATCTAAAAAGCTGTTTGGTATGTATTGAAATTTAAGTATTGATTCAATTAAATTGTTTGATCTATACAAAAAATAATTAAAATTAAAATTGTCTTTTTACTTTTTACATTGAAATATTAAATTAAATTCTTTTATCACACTAATATAATTGATAAATAAATTATTGTAATTACAATTATAACATTATATTTCAAATTTTTGAAATATTATGATTATTAAAATTTTTGTCTCTTCTATAGGTAATAAATCATCTATGCAATAAAATAATGATGCAAAAGTAATCAATTAAAAACTTATTTCATATTTCATATACATACATTGGATGAACAATTCTTATATTCAAAAAAAAAAAAAAAAATAGAGTAAACCGAACAAAAAGTAAAAGAGTTGAAGTCCCACATCAACATATCAACACATAAATAAATAAATATATATATATATATATATATAATGAAAGAACAATAGTCTACAATCCGACCCAAAAAAATGAAAACAAATATAAATATTAAACAAAAGTGTCATAACTTTTCATTTATAACTTTAAAATGCACGTTATAAATTTACTTTTCATATCATAACTTTTGGACGGTATATATCCTTTTAGAGATCCACAGTGTAGATTTATCCCGACTTATTAGAATAGTTTAGATATATAACATAGTTCCTATTCTTGTAGTGTTTTCTTTGTATTTTATTTTTCGTTTTTAGTTAATTTTTTTCAAAATTTTGACAAATATTTATTTCTTAGGAACATTTAAAAATTTTAAAAATGAAAAAAAAAAAAAAAAAAAATTGACGAAAGAAAAAGAGACAAGCTTGAAGGCCACACCCACACTTGCTCCTTTCTTTCCGACTGGGTAATTTCAGTCCTGTCGAATTTTTTTTCCCCCACTGATTTGATTTGTAGCCAAGTAAAAATGAAAAGCTTTTTCACTGATTTGATTGGTGGATCGGTCTGGTTTTTGCTTTGAAGAAGGAAAAAAAAAACAGTATTATCAAACAATTAACAATAAATAAATAAATAAATAAATAAAAAGTTACCTGTTCTTTGTAAGGAGATAGAGAAACGATAGGACAATAGAAACACCAGCAGGCCAAACAATCCACAACAGGGTATGAGGTAGAATCATTTGTATCATGGTCAAGAACCCAATGACGGACGACAACGCGCCAGCATACCCCCCTAAGCTTGCAGCGATTGGCGATTCGTTTTGCAATAAGATCACATTCATATTACAAGTGAAGCCAATTGCAATACAAGCAACAAGAATACCAAATGATTTTGCATGTGGTGGCTTTGAATTCAAAGCAAACTGCAACGGCGATCCCTCTGATCTGAAAATCACCATAGCTATGGCTGCACTGAAATTTGTGACTAGGAGCGTCTTCGATAGCTTAAGTAAGTTGTCGCCACCACTAGTCTTCTCTGCCAGAATCTCAAACCAAGATCGAGTCTTAGCTCGAGCTTGAGTCTGAGTCTGAGTCTGAGTCCGAGTCCGAGTCCGAGTCTGACACTCGTGAGATGTTGAAGGATGCTGGTTTTGAGTGTTACCAGTTCTTGGGTCTGTGTTTGTGTCAACAGATGGTTGTTGTGGCGGTGCAGGTGGTTGGGTTTGCCGAACTGGACTGCCATCAACAGAAAATGGTGATTGGCCATTTGAATTTGAAATCATACCTACAAGGTACAAACAAAGATTATCAAAAAAAAGACCATGAATAATGCATGAAATCATGATAAATTTCACACACACAAAAAAAAAAAAACTAAAAACTAAAACTAAAAATATTGGGGGATTTTGGGTACACTAAAATCACCTGCAATAAAATTTTTTAGCCTGAATGGAAATCACCAAGATGAGGAAACTTTGTCAGCCACGAAACCTTACTGAATCTGCATGCCTATAGACCAATATTTTATGTTTTTTGGTCTTTGGGTGGGCAAAACAGGATTATTTCATTTATTCATATAAATTATTGGGGTAGACAAATGAACACATAAATAAATAACTACATTCATGGAAAATAGAAGATCTGATACAAGTTAAAAAAACGGAAGTATCAAATTAGGGGATTTGAGTAGGAAAAAAAATGGAGAAAATACTAATGTGTATGATCTATCAACAACAAATGAGGGAGAGAGAGAGAGAATGAATGCACGAACAATGAACAATGAACACTGTACTTATAATGATGGGCCTATTATGATTTTGTTTGTTTGTTTGCTCGTTTTTATTTTATTTTTTTTATCAACAAAAGATAAAAATTTTATTGATAAAATGTATCTAGGATATTTCCACATATTTGTGCATATATATTTTTTATTGCGAATCCAAAGTATCAATTATGGGCCCTTATATTTTTTGGATTTTTTTGATTTTTTTTTTTAAAAAAGAAAAAGAAGAAGATTGCATCTTGCATTTTATACATAAAATGACCCACCAAAATAAAAAATACATATTTTATTCTTCTCCCATCTTGTATTCTCTTTCTATTTTGCACCGAAAAAACTTTTTTATCCTATTAGAGATTGCATCTATGGTTTTAATTTTTTTTTTCTATATACATAATTTATATATCATATTGTAAATATACACGTTTTGTATATATGGTGGAAAAAAATTATTTTTCTTTTAGTGTATCCGGTAATGAAATCTTGGTTATGTCCATGAGAGAGACTTTTAAATTATATATACCAAACTTAAATAAATTACAAAATAATATTTAGTAATTTATTTAAAGATAGGGTATGTAGGCGGAAGCAGCACATATATGAAGGAGAGATGGATTATGAAATCAAAATACGAACACACACTGGAATAACACTAAAACATTTAAACATTTAAATAAAATACATTTCATTAATTGAAAACTTGAAAATTTAAAACATAACTTACAATTGTATGAGTAGCAACTGTAAGGATCTTAAATAGGTACAACGAAGAAACTGGTAAGGCTCTCAAAACACTCTGGGTTTTCTTACAACAAAGATGGAGAAGAAAAATTGAAGAATGCCTGAATGCTTACAATTGATTACAATATAAAGAAATAAAAGCAAAACATTGAGCATGTGAATTCTGAAAGCAGCTGGCCGAGCAGGTGAAAAGCAGATGCTGTCGGATGCTTTCGGTGGAGTGATTACACAACTGTGCAGCTTTTAGCAAAAGTTGATTGGTTGAATAGTGCTGGTGAATAGTAAAAGTGAACAGTAGTTTTTACTATTCATTACTTTCGGTGGAACATGTGAATTATGAATCAATATAAATACAAATTGGCAGCTTTTCTCAAAAGAGTATTGATTGAAGCTAATTTGTATTTATATGGTATCCAATGTTAATCAGATAAATGGGTCTTGAGCATCTTGAAACTCTGGTCCGGAATATTGATTGGTTGATTCTTCAGAGGAATGGTCCTGAGCTGAATCATCTGAATTATCTGAATCGGTGGATTGGGCTTTAGCTTGATTCAACAATTGATGGGCTAACTGGATCATGTCGGCTTTGGATGATTGGGCTTTACTTTTGGATTTCCCTTTGGGCTGAACAGGAGGTGGAATGGGCTTTGCCTTGACTTTGGATTGTGCTTTGGGCTTGGATTGGGCTGGTTGAGCAGCAACAGCTTTGGACTTTGATTTTGTTGATTTGGGCTTGGAGCCACTAGATGAGGGGCTACCAAGGTTAACTGGAGGAAGACTGGGCTGACTTCCTTGAGTGATTGCAGCAGTTGGGTTCTGCTGGGCTTGAGCAAGAGCAGGAGTTGGAGCATATTGATCAGGTGGAAATTCTGCTGGAACAATTTCAAGAATTCTGGGAACATTGAATTTATCCCACCATTTAACTGTGTGTTGGCGGATGATAATATTATCATCAATCCCATAATTCCATTTGAATATCCATGGAATCTTGTATTTGGCAATGAATATGAGTAATAAGGGAAATTGCCTCTGGTGAGCAGAAAATGGGTAAACAGAGTTGAAATAATGAATTATATTTTTGAGATCATCAGGAAGGATAGCTGAAATGGCGCCATAGTGAGACCACCATCTCAGAAACCAAGTTGGTAACGCAGATTTGAATTTTTGATCAAATGAGATGAACCAGGAATGACTAAAAGTTTCATTTTGGTACAAGAAAATCTTGAACCAAGCATCAACGTAATCATGATAATTATATGGAATAGAATGGCCAGGTAGATCACGAAGCTGGTTAGGATTACCCCATTCAGCCATGGAAACAATATGAAATAAGTCACAATTCCTTGTTTCTTTATTTTACAGAATTTAAATTTTTGTGTTTATGGTTTAATTTTCTGTGTAGTATAAATACTAATTATAATTTTGTTTTATAATTTAAAATTCATGACTACGGAAACTAGTCAAACTAATGTTCAAACTAGACTGATATGGTGATTGCCATTTCGCCAACCGCTTCTTACGTTGGGACTGTGCCAGTGAATCATGGTAAAAAGCCAGAGAAGTTCTTAGAAACTGATTTTTGCGAAGGCAAAGGAAGATCAAGTAATAAGAATGTTGCTAAAGCCAATATGACCAAAATTGATAAAATTTTCAATTGTGTAGATGTCATAAATTTTTCTGTAGTTGTTTCCGAGGCAAACCTTGTCAGAAATCCTAAAGAGTGGTGGGTGGACACTAGTGCTACTCGCCATATATGTGCCGACAAAATGATTGTTCACATCTTATTCTATAGTGGACAACGGTGAACAACTTTTTATGGGAAACTCCTCCACTTCTAAAGTTAAAGGATAAGGAAAGATTATTCTGAAGATGACATCTGGATAGGAACTCAATCTCAACAATGTGTTGCATGTAGCGAACATTCGCAAGAACCTTGTTTTCGGATCTTTGTTGAGTAAAAATGGGTTTAGGCTAGTTTTTGAAACTGACAAGTTTGTACTTACAAAAAATGTGATGTATGTGGAAAAAGTTACATGTCTGATGGCCTTTTCAAAATGAATATAATAACTATTTTACCCTCTGTTATTAATAAAAATATATCTTCTTCTTACTTGCTTGGGTCTTCAAAGTTACGGTATGGTAGACTTGGACATGTTAATTATGGATCTTTGCATAGATTATTAAATATGGAATGTTTACTTAAGTTTGGCATTGACTTAAATCATAAATGTGAAATTTGCGTTGAGGCAAAAATTAACTAAAACCCATTTTCATTCAATTGAACGAAATACGGAGCCACTTGAATTAATTCATATGACATTTATGATTTTAATCAATTGAAACTAGAGGTGGGAAAAAGTATTTTATCACTTTTATATATGGCTAAACTAGACATAGTTATGTTTATTTAATTCGAACAATGGATGAAACTTTGGAAACTTTCATTCAATATAAGAATGAAGTTGAAAATCAACTTGGTAAGAAAATTAAGAAACTAAAAGTGATAGAGGTAGTGAATATGAATCATCTTTGGTGAATTTGTAAAGAACATGGAAATAATTCATCAAACCACTGCTCCTTACTCACCTCAGCAAAATGGAATTGCTAAAAGGAAAAATAATGACTTTAAAAGAACTGATGAATGCATGTTAATAAGTTCTGGATTACTTAGAACTTATGGGGGAACAATACTTTTTGCTAATTATATACTTAATAAAGTACCCGAAGAAAGTGAATCAAACACCTTATGAAATGTGGCATGGGAGAGTACCATCCTACAAATACTTAAAAAGTGTGGGGTTTGGCTAAATGGTATTCTAAGTCCTAAAAAAACTAAGATAAGTCCTAAAACCTTGAATTGTATTTTCATTATTATACCAAGAATAGTAGTGCATATCGGTTTTTAATTCATAAATTAGAACATACCAAAATGCATGTAAATACTATTAGTGAATCTCGGAAATGCATCGTTCTTTGAACATATATTCTAAATAAGATTGGACAAAGACTAGTACTAATAAAAGATCTTATGATTCTATTACTAGTCATGATCAAGAACAAGCAAAGAGATAGATCAAAATGAGGAAGAGAACTAGGCATAGTAACATGCTAGAACCTCAAAATCATTTTGGTCCAAATTTCCTAACAATTTTTTTTTTTTTTTTATGTTTTTTTGTC